CAGCCGCTCCCCAGCAGACCTGTGCTCCAGACCCTGCCCCAGCTCCGTTGCCCTTCTCTGGCCACGCTCGAGTCATTCAATGGCCTTTTTGGGGTGAGGGGCCCAAAACTGAACCCAGGAATAGAGGAAGCTGCAGCACATCTCATTCAACAGAGGGTGATGTTTTTAAGACTCATGAGACAGGGAAGAACCACTGTCCCACTGGAATCGTGGACTGCATAGATAGCTGGGTACCATTTGCATCATCCACAGGCCTCCCTGAACTCAGAGGAAACACCACCAACTTGGACTTAAACACCAGTGATGTAAAATCTCCCACACCCCTCAGCAGGATATTTTCCTCCTGGTGATCAATTACCTTCTTGCAAAAAACCTACGTTTTATGTCTTGTCCGAGTACATTACACTGCTGCTTCCTTCTCATTTTATCTCATTCTCTCAGTATCTTCCAGCCTGCAGAGCCCTCAGCTGGCAAGTTTTAACTCCCTAGGTAGATGCTGCTAAATCAGGGGCATTTTGGACACTCCTAAATGGAGTCATTTCAACCTCTCCTGTGATGATCGACGGAGATCAGGCTTTTTGTTGCAGCAGGACATTCATCCGGACCCAGCTGGTACAGTTTTTTGGCAGCTTGCTCGCCTGTCTTTTATGCCCTTCTGGCAGCAGTTAACCAGTGTGCTGCCCTCCCAAATTTGCTGGCAGGGAGGACACATAACTTCCAGGACTGAAAGGGGCTATGGGAAAGGTGGGGAGGAACTCTCCATCAGGGGTGTAGGGATAGGACAAGGGGTAATGGTTTTAAACTGACACTTCCTGGAAGGGTTCAAGGCCAGGTTGGACGGAGCTTTGGGCAACCTGGGCTAGTGGAAGGTGGCCCTGACTGGGGCAGGGGGTGGGACTGGGTGATCTTAAGGTCCCTTCCAACCCAAACTATTCTGTGATTCTATGATAACAGACCCCAAATCCACAAGGGGCTGACTCCACCCCTTAGCTACATCAGGCTAAACAGGCTGAAAGGACTCTACCTGGCATGGCTGGGTGCTCCAGCACAAATATACCTTCTGCTGCTGAAAAATGCACGGAAGAGCATAACGCTGATGGCTCATGCACTTTGGACCATGCAGACAGGTTTCCTTTAGAGTATACAGAAAAACTCCCTGAAAAGCTCTCTGTTCCAGCCTTCTGCTCTGCAGATCCACGTGAATCCTTCCAGTCACACATCACTTCCCAACCAGTAAGCCCTTCCCAAACGCATCCAACTTCCTTGAAACCAACTTGTCCGAAGCCAGAAGCTGTCCCAACAGCTGTATTGCTTGCAAATTTCTTTTCTGCTGTAGAGATGATAAATTGGCTCTTCAGAGCCAAATAAAGCATCCTTGGGATCCCACTGAAGCATATCTGGATGACACTGACTCTCTGGTGACAAGCCACCATGGGAAAATGTCACCCTGCTGCCACTTCACTGCCTGGGAGGGGCGAGGTTTGCCCTGCAGGTTTTTAATTCATTGGAAGACCACACAGCCCCAAATCACATGCCTGACAATTGTTGACACATACTGCTGACAACTGTTGAAATATTGCTTATGTCAAGCAATATTTAAGTCCTTTTTTTTTTCCTGGGTGAGGTTATGCATTAGTTTTATGGAATCCTATGCTTGCTCAACAATAACCTCACTTCCTTACCAGATATTGTATTATTTTGCATATTTTTTACTACACATTCCCCTTCCCTGCTCATCTTTGGAAAAGCAGCCGGTGAAGGCAGGGGTTGCAACCCACAACCACAAGGTCCCTGCAGCCAGATCTCTGCATCGTATGTCGCCGTGGCCATGACCCTACAGCTGTGGGAAGACGTTTCCATCGCGCTGGACCCTCCGACAAACCTCCCAGCCAGGTTGCAATGCCAGGAGCCACGACAGACTCATGAACTGCTTCCAGCCAGAAACCAGAGCCTCGCTGCAGAGGTATTTATCCTGCATTTTATCCACAAACGCTGTTTCAAGCCGGAACACTGCCAGGCCTTTTGTGCACAGGCACTTTTCAACCAGCAGAGTTTTAAGGACGTTGCAGATTGCTGCGTAATCAACCCGTGGAGCAAATCTGTGCCGGGGCAGCTCACGAGACCGGAGGCACATGTGGCACACCATGTCGGATGATAACGGAGCTCCGCTCTGTGCCGCAGCCTCTCCTTCCCTGCACCAGACGTGCCCGATTTTCGGTGCAAATGCAAGATAGGGGCCTGCAGTCAGGGGATGAGGGTGCCTACAGGGTGCAGGAGCAGCACCTCGCAGCACAGGGATCCTTCTCCAGGATCATCAGCAGAGGGGGGAAACGTATTGACATCAAACCACATATCCCAGTCCGCTCGTTGCCTAGTGTGCTTTGCCTCTCTGGGATGTTTGGTTGGTTTTTTTGCGGCTGCCCTGTCTCCTTTCATTTCCCGGAGAGTTTCACTTTCATTTTCACTTCCAGGTCCCACTTCCCAGCACCCAGTTGGGCCTCACTCACTAGCCAAGGGAGGGACACTGGGAGAGGAGCGCTTCGATGCCCATGCACAGCATCGCCCGCTGCTGCTGCCCCAATGCCCCCATTTAGTCCATCCCTGGGAACCAGCCCCCCAAAAGTCCCTGGAAAGCATCTGGCAACGGGGTGGGGTGCTGAGCTACCTCCAAGATGGCTTAGGGGTGTCACCTACCTGGGTGTCCTGAAGTCCTCGTCCCTCCACCACGGCTGCTAGGGGAGCGTCATGCTTCCAGGTCTCCCCTCGGCCTTTGGGGTGGGCGGCCTGGCCGTAAGGCTGGAGAATCTGGGATGCCAAAAAAATAAAGCTGTGCCTGTCCAGCCCTTGCAGCGGTGGGATCTCGGAGCCCCGAGCTCTCTCGGTTGTGGGTGTCCCCGAAGTGTCCCCCTGGCTGTTACAACCCCTGGGTTTTCCCTACAGCCATAGGGACACCCGCCCAGAGAGAACAGCCTCGGAGCTACACTTGGACATCCCGCACGCCCCCGGAGACCCAACCCCCGTGGGGCTTCCTCCCGCACACCCACGGGGGCTGCCTGGGGGGCCCAAATCCCCCCCCTCACCCCCCCGACAGCTCCGGGGACCCTCTAGGAAAATTCTTCTGCTTCCTACGGGAAGCCCAGCGCCGACCCCTCAAGGCGGAGACTCCCTGCCGCTACTGCTGCGGGGTCGGGGGGGGGGGG